ATGAATATGTGGGTTTAGGATGGTGATGAAAAAGAATATGATTAGAGTTTAAATTGATATGGAATATATATAGATGGGGATGGAGATGGGTGTATAATATTGTACAGTGTCATTGTAATTGTTTTCATTTGGTGAGAGGGTGTTCCATTTAAAATTGTCATTTAATGTAATTTTACCTCAACATATAATTGTAAAAAAATAAATGAGTGAGAATTGAAGGATCAAAAGAAATTAGGTAGATGTTAATAACAACACTCATTTTTAAACTTTATAAATTATTTTGTATATGTATTAAGTAATATTGTGTACTAAGAGTATTAATAAGGTATAAATAAAATCACCCAATTTAAAATTCTAATAATTTTCTAGTATCTTTTATGTTACCCTAACTTTTCCATTTAGTTTAGTTGAGACATCTTGCCACAAGTAGGTGTTTTCTTATGGCCAAAGTGGTTGTGGTTGGATAGTATGAGTTTAACACACATGTCGACATAGCTACGAAATGTTTTCTAATCTTAATGAGGTAGACATGTATATTAATAATTTTTTTTTTAAATAATGGACTACAATATTATTTTCTACTAACATAAGAAGTAAAAAAATAATATAAAAAATATATAAAAAGTTTTTTGAAATCTTATGAGTAGGACAATCGTCCCTCTTACTCCACTCTAGGTCCATTATTGCTTCCTTGATCATTATTGATATATGCTTCATGTACCATGTACAATTTTAAGATCACATCAATAAGGAAATATTAAAGATCGTGTAACATGTGCAAGTTATGTCATTTGTAAATTTCATCATTATAAATGACATAGTTTTTTGTGGGAGTCCTAATTAAAAATAAAATTTGGATTATAACCGAATATCAAATCAAGCATAACTAAATAACTCTTGGATCATAATCAAAATAATGTCATACTTGACATCACAATATGTTATAACTAATCACAAAATGTCATAATTTAGCTAACTTTTTGTTCTGAAGATCTTTTATTAATTTTGAATAAATTTTACAAGAGAATTATAATTTTTTATGATAAAAATTATAATTATTAAAAGTGTATTATGCTATTCTGTGATAAAAATACAATGACGAATCTATGGTGTGTGATAAAACAAACATAATTTATTTTAAACCCACTGGCCACTTCATTCTAAAACAGTCTAAAACTTTATTGCAAGTGAAGAGGATGACGATTAAGGAATCAAGCAAAAGATAACAGGTTATCGAGTCAAAAATTTATTAAAAGCGGCAACCTACACAAATATTAATATGATATAAATCTAGAATTTGTTAAAAATAGCCACACAAAATAATAATAATAATAATAATAATGAGAATGAATGTGAATTGGATATAAATTTATTTTTTTAGGAGCTTCAAACCATGTCAATTTCTGAATCTTTTAAGTAATTAAATCAAAGCTCTAATCTCTTTGACCAAACAGACACAATTTATCCAAAAAAACAACTATCTATTGCAACTTATCGTTTGAAATCAACCTATCTCTTAAAATTCACCAAACTAACTATGTGTTAAAATGTGATAAATGCCACTCATTTAACATCATATTTGTTGAATATAATACATTTCTCTACCTCACCATCACCACTTGCCACCGCAGGCCACCGCCGACTTTTCCGGCAACTTTTTCAACATCGTCAACAATTTTCACCTTGTCCTTATTACCAAGCAAGATTTTACCTTAGGTCTAATACTTTATACTCATTTGAAATAAACTTTTCACCAATTGTCTCTACTATTTAAGGATGAAATTAGACATTTGGTAATGAATTACTATCCTGTCAAGACCAAAATTTTATTTTAAAAAAGGTATACCATTTAGCATGAAATTATTTGGTTCTTAAAAATACATTTATTAGTGGCATTTTCAAAATTTAGTCACTAATGCTATATTTGGTTGAAGAATTTGGAAAGGAACTTGGAAAGAAAAAGAAAAAAAATAATGCTAGATACCCCAAAAATTCTTTCTTTTCTCTTTTCCTTTCCAAATCTCTTCTCCAATCTCCCGACCAAATACAGCTTAAGAACTTTTTTATATTTCCTTTTACGTTTCGTGCCCACTCACATGATGAGTGAAATTAGACTCTAATTGTATTTTGCAAAAAAACCTTTACTTTTGATAGTGAAAAAGTTTAGTTCCTTAGTGATCAGTTGTATTTTTGTTTTTCAAATTTTTTTTTGGACATTTTTGGGTTGATGTTATTATAACATAATGAAGAATAAATGGGGACCACTGCGAAAGTTTACAATGCCAAATGCCACTATTATATAGTTTTTATTTATTTTTTATGCCATAGCGTTACGTAAAGTCTCATATGGTTATGGATTTTATATGTTAATGGGTGCATGTACACTGAATATGTGTTTGTTGGTCCCTCTTTATGCATCAATTGTTTTATCTTTATTACCCATTATGGATATGGATATAAATATGAATGGAAAGTGTTAAAAATTATTTCTCCAAATATTTTTTTAATATTTAATGTAGTAGTGGCCTTTTGATCACAATCTAATAAAAAGTAAACCACAATGGACTATGACGCAAATTAACAACTATACTTTGTATAATAATTACAAAAATCATTTGGTGAGTTAAGAATTTCAACGTGATTTATGATACAATAACATGATCATTTTTGCTCTTATTTTTTCTAAAAAATTTGTGAAATGTTACACTATGTTATTGAGTGACATATAATCACGTTGTGTTTTCATAATTCTAAATAATTTCTCGTATACTATAGCAAGAGCATCTCCATAAGACTTTTAGTCATATTTTTAACTTAAGAGTTGCTTTTTTTTAGTATTTATTTTAGCTAGTCATTTTAGGAAACAATAAAAAGTTCTTTCCTAATTTTTAAAATTATTTTTGCACTAAAATGGAAATTATATAAGTGTGTCAACCTTTCTTTAATTTTGAATAATAATAATAATAATAATACCAAACATATTACATACAGATACGGATATGAAACCCTAACCCTAGAATTGTCAGACAAATTCAAACAAAAACTTTGGGTTAGCCCTAATCCTAATTTCTGATTTCAAATTCAATTGAAAACCCTAGAACATTTTCACAATTCAAAGCCACAAGATTTTACCAATGTAAAACCACAATTTCAATTCACAAAGCCTATTCTACCCACATTGATATCAATATTAATTCACAACATTTTCACATTTACAAACCCTATTCTACTAATATTTTCATCAATTCACAACATTTTCACATTCACAAACCCTATTCTACCCATATTGTACCCACATTTACATTTTCACAAACACAATAAACACATACAAAATTCAAACTGTGAGAGAGAGAGAGAGAGAGACAATCATACGAGCGAGAGAGAGAGAGCAGAGAGCGGCCCATAGAGAGAGAGAGAGAGCAAAGAACCCACGGACGGAGAGAGAGAACGAGAGCAAAGAGAGAGCGAGAGCGAGAGCAGAGAGCAGAGAGTAAGAGAGAGCAGATCGGAAGGGGGAAAAAATGAAGTGTAAAAAGCATGGTTGCAAATGAGGGGGGTGGGTGTTTATATAAGTTATAAAAACGTGGTTACGAACCACGCTTTCTTTTAAAATCGAATTTTGGTTAAAAGCATAGATAATAACCACGCTTTCTTTAGTCAAGTAAAAGCATGGTTACGAATCACGTTTTCTGAAAAAAACTAAATTTTATTTAAAAGTGTGGTTCATACAAAACAATTTTCCGCGGTTGGACTAGAAATATGGTGAAAGCGTGATTTGTAATAGCGTTTCAACTTATTTTGAGAATTCCGTCCAAACTAGATTTAATTTAAGAAATAAATTGTTATTTTAACTTATTTTGGAAAAAGCCCCAACATTGGGTCCATAGAGATTTGGTTAAAAATAAAATCATTCATTGCCTTCCAAATATTCCAGCGGAGCCACACAATCTGACAGAGTTGCAATTTACAAAGCTCAACATCCTTGACGCCTTCTCTACACTTTTGAATCAATTAATTACCACCCTAAATAAGTTAGTTAAAATCAATAATATCCACTAAGAATGCATTAACAAGGGAAAATATTATAAGGGGTTGTTTGAGGTGTCCTAAATAAGTGTACTTTTTGTCTTTTTAGATTAAAAAGTTGATGTTGAAAATATAAATGTTTAGATTAACCATTTGACTTTTTATGAAAAAATATGTATTAAAAAATTGTATAAATTAATGTGTAGAAGAAAATTAGTATTAGAAATTGTGCAGCCGTAATTGTTAATTTTTGATAAATAATGATAATTTTTTAATTTTTTAAATAATTTTTTTGAGACTTCTCAAACTTCACCTTAGTTAATTTAGGCGTTTGATTGACATGCTTGGAGCTACTACTTGGTATTTTTTAATGAGCTACTAAAACAATCACATGAGTGTATAGACTTTTATTAGATGTAAAGCTCTGGAAAGGGAAGAGGGGGGGGGGGGGGGGTGGTTGGACGTCATTGGGATGCTTGGAGCTACTACTTGGTATTTTTTAATGAGCTACTAAAACAATCACACGAGTGTATAAACTTTTATTAGATATGCGCACTCAAAACAATTTTATGGATATATTATTGAAGCGTGACAAAAGAATTTAAAATATTTTCAATTTTGTGTTTTATATAATAAAATAGATATGTATAAAATAAATTATATTAACATTCTTTAATAATTACTCAAATTACAATTGAATCTATTAATATAGAAAAATTATATCAGCCTCTTATAACATTTGAATGTATTTTAAAAAATTCATGATCACTCAACTTTAAGATTGAATTTCTTATTTTGCCTTTCAAAGAATTTTAGCCAAAAGAGTAAAAAGTACTACAAAAGTATTTTCTCTGTTTTTTTTACATGATTTCTCATAAAAAAATTAAAAAATTATTAAAAGAAATTAATTTTAAAAACAACCCTAAATTCCATATTGGGTTAAAAATGGGTCAACTCGCTAAAAACGGGCCAACCCGTTAACTTTCCCTCTCCTCTCCAACGCGTTAGTTACCCTCCCCTCCCCCGCCTCCCCAGCAGAAGAGCTACAACAGCAGCGCCTCCGTTGACAGCCCCAACCCAGTCGAAATCCCCAACATCTTTGACGATTATTATTCCTCACCAGGTCTCTCTCTCTCTCTCTCTCTCTCTCTCTCTCTCATATATATATATGCGCGTGTGAATGGATATATGTATGCGTTGCCTGTAATCTATTTCATCATACATTTTTTAGCATATATATCTCAGATTCTCTGTTTTTTTAGGATTTGATAAGACAATTCGTTTGTATAAGAATTAGCCTTGATAGTTTATAATTTCCTTGTGATTTTTATCTCTGGGAATATTGAAAGAGAAAATATTTGATTTGTTTACTATAAAAGTGTTGTAATACGAAGAGGGGAGTCTCAAATTAACTCCACAGATAACAGGCATCATTTTCTTTGATCACCACCTGTAGTGAGGTTGAATTATTGTTTCAATTTGGCACTTAGTTGTAATAATTAAAGCATCTAAAGCCCATGGCAAAAATATAACTTTTTCCCCCCTATAGATTGAAGTTGAATTACTTCCCAGTCATGAAGTAAATAATAAGGGAAAATAATTATCTTTTCTCTGTTTTGGCATTTTCAAATCTACTTTCATCCAATCTACTTTTCCTTTTCCTTTTCCTTTTACTACGATATTGAAACGTAAAGTTTTCTTCTTTTGTATTGGCCCTCCATATTTAATTTATTTGTTTTCTCCTGTAGAAGATTACTATAGTTTATAACGAATCTTAAACTCCATAATTAAACCAAGGAAGAAGACATTGATTTGACGTTCTCATCAAACATGAGGAGTCCATAACATTTTATGATAATGAGATGGCAGATCTGGATCAAATTTTAGGTGCTGAGGGGCCGGGGAGGACTTATCAAATCTAATGATCAATGAGTGTACTTCAAGCTAGAAAAATGGGGCTTCCCTCGATGAATCTTGGTAGATTTAAGGGAGTACCCATTTTAAAACAACTATACTTGGAGGAGCAGCTGCTTCGGACCTCTTCTGATAATTGGTGCATCATAAATGATGGAACAAATGCTCCAACCGTTGTCATGGGGCTGTCCGGGTAAATGAGTTATTTTGTCATGGTTTCAATAATGTGTTATAGGTTTTGATCATTTTCTCAAGTTTATTATTTTAGTGTTCTTTCATTTTAGAGCGACATGCTGTAGCTTGTCCAAGCTCAGCTGCTTTGACCAAAGAGAAATTTGGCGTCTTGTGCTACTTAATAATATCACTTAATGAGTTCACAAAGTTGCAAACAGTGTAATTCAAACTATCTGTTTGACTATATATTGATGCCAGGGATGGAGTTTTAAGAAGTGACTAGTTGATCTGCAAACTGGAGTGATTTATAGTTCCGTTAAATATTTTACTGGAGAATCAAGTGAGTCTTGTGCTACTTAATATCACTTAATGAGTTCATCACAAAGTTGCAAACAGTGTAATTCAAACTATCTGTTTGACTATATATTGATGCCAGGGATGGAGTTTTAAGAAGTGACTAGTTGATCTGCAAACTGGAGTGATTTATAGTTCCGTTAAATATTTTACTGGAGAATCAAGTGACTTGATTTTATCATTTTGAATTGAAGCAGTCCTTATATCACTGGAAAAAGTGTCTGGATGATGGGAATTTTTTTATTATTAGTCCACACTACGCATTGATGATTTTCTGATTGCTTAACATTTCTGTTTTGGCAGGGTTTGAAATCAGTGTTTGAAGCATGAGTTATATATATCCCACACTACTTTAACTGTTTTTGATTACCTTCCAACTTTGGTTGCATAATTTGACTTTTGAAATATGCATATGGAGGAAGTAATGTGATTTTTGGTTACTTTATGTAGGAAACCTTCTGAACTCCTTGAAGTTGGGTCTGTGTTACAAGATCAGGTTCCTGTAATCAAAAGGTTTACAGGGGGAGGCACTGTTATTGTTGATCCTGGAACAATATTTGTCACTCTTATATGCAACAAGGATGATGTTCCTGGTGTGCAGCCATATCCCCGCTCCATCATGTATTGGAGCAGGCTGCTGTACAATGAAGTGTTCAAAGAAATTGGTGATTTCCAACTCCGTGAGAATGGTACGAGGACTTTTCCTTTCATTAAGAATGCATTTTCTTTTAAGTTAGTTTTAGGCAGAAGATTTACATGACTATAGGAGCTTTCCACCTATTTATGATTATTGTGTCGAAACACCTGTTTGCATATCCAATAAATTGTCATGTCTTTGGATGTGTACAAGTGCATTCACTTTGTTGCTTCTAAAAAGTGTAGTAAAATGCCTATAATATGTTTTCCACAATAACAAGTTGAACTTAATATTTCATTGTTTGGTAATGTAGAGTTTTATTTATCTTTTGTGTGCATTGACATGTATAATAATTGTTTAGGTTATTGCTATTGGCTAGTGTATTTATGTTTTACTGTGTCAATGCAAGGTACTTCTTATTCTGACCAGGATCATAGCGATTGGCTAGGATAGATGCCTTTTTGTTGTCACAAACATGCATATAGAGACAGTGTTCTGCAAAGGACATAAACAAGTACACGTGTCTAGCCTGTACACTTTGGTTGTGGGTTGTTCCATTATTAATGTGTCAAGTACAGCACTAAGTTTTACAACTATGCATTCACAAAAATATTGGACAGCACTTAAATTTTATTGGTGGACTAAAATAGCCAAACAAAGTACCGTGCACAGAAAGTGATTGACTAGTGATGAGGATGTGATGGTAGAACCAGAGGGTTTAGGGCAACCAAACGGGGCTATTCAAATTAGGGGTTGGTGGAAAAATGTTTTGGGTTGATTAGGAATTTATTGGACTAAATTTTGAAAATAAAATGTAGGGTTTCTGAGGGCTATAAATTTTGAGAATAAAAAGTAGTGTTTGTCGAAGTGAATAGTAAAATATTGATTGCAGAAAACTCAAAAAGAACAAGAAGAATGATGGAAGTAAATTTAGGAATCACATATCTCTGTAGTTAGATCACTCTTCTATAACATAGCCATTAGAGGTGGCTAATTTTTTTCAGATTTACTTCATATAGTAGAGGGCTGTTCTTTGATCTGGTTTGCTATATTTTGAATTAGTTTGCAGTCATTATTTCTGTGTCCTGTACTTCTAAATAACTTTTCAGTTTGTTTTACACTGACCTGGTACATGAACAATTGTCTAGAGAATAAATAACTAAAGTTGACAATTTATCAGTAATAGGATTTTTTTATTTTTTATTTTTTCCTTCCATTTGCATCTAGATTATGTCTTTGGTAGTCGCAAATTTGGTGGGAATGCTCAATCAATAACCAGAAAACGGTGGATACACCACACATCATTTTTATGGGACTTTGAAGCCGGTAATATGTCCTACTTGAAGCTGCCTACGAGGGCTCCAGAGTACCGATTGGTATGCATTTATTTCTCTTTTCTTTAATATTCTCATTAGTATTACATCTCAAGATATGTGTACTAACTGCAAGTTGTTTTTATTTATTTATTACATTTCAAGGTCTCTTAAGGAGATCATGCCAAGATGTATATCTATTATTTTTGAAAAGCAATATTTTACTCTCCGAAGGTCATCAACTTATAAAGTTGACATCAATCACAAAATTAACTTTTGAATTTTAATCTAGTAGGCAAGAAGCCACATGGAATTTGTATGTCGAATGAAGGACTACATGCCAAGATCAGTTTTTATTGATAAGACAGTAATGGCTATCGAAAACCAATTCTCGATGAAACCTGTTGATTTGGATGTTGATGCTGCAACTCATGACACGGAATTTGTTCACTCCACTAGGCTTCTGTTGAAGCGGGAACTTGAGGAAGCTTGAGCAAAATGGCACTCAAGGAATCTGTTAGTTAAGTTAATCATTGATACTGAAGAAATTTTTATTATTTGGGGGGTTTTTTGGACCCTGGCATTGTCAAGAAATTTTATTTTTGCCATGCTATATTTATTCTTATTTCTTTCAGGTGAATTTGGCTCCTGCTTTGTTGGGGTTCAACAACTCTAATAAAAACCCTTAAATGAATGACAATTTTGTGGCGACCCATGTTTTCAGTTTCACATTGTACTGATTTGAGGTTTCAACATGAAGTGATAAAACCTTGTCTATCATGGTGGGCATCACCGGTGATGCGAGACATTGAACAATTCAGTGAGCTGGAGAGGACTCAAGCATTGAACCCAACCCTTGTGAGGAAAATGCTTACCTCGTATATTTGTCGGAGAATTGTTTAAGAAAACATAAATTGGTTGTACACTATGAAGTATGAGGATTGGTATTAATACAATAGGATATGTCGATACGATAAAATTTTTTAAAAAATAAGGTATGATTTGGTATGTTTGTAAAAAAATATTTATTTTTAATTTAGAATAATGTAAAGGTCTAATTTACAATTAATATTTAATGTCAAAAGTAAATGTATAAATTAAAATTAAATGCCAATATATTAAATAACTTATAAATCATAGTTTAATTTTAAAGTTATGCTAAGTATAAAACAAAAAATAAAAAAGAAGTCTGATGAAAGAAGTTTTATCTCTGTAATAGAAAAAAATATTATTTCAACTATGGTATGGTACGATTTGGATATATATTAGGTACGTATAGGTACGTCATGAAAATTTTAAATACGTGTTTCATATATTTAATATATATACAAAAGTAACATACAATACAACATATTTTTTAAAGTGCTCATACTTCATATATTCTGGAGCTTGAAACCAAATATATCTACATTGCTGGTAGCACGAGATGTTTTGGAAAGTGAAGTTTGTTAACCAATCTCGTAAAATATTATCTATACATATGGTATTTATTTTTATGTTTGATTTTTGTGTTTGTAATGTAGCCGGTGTGTAGTGTCAGTCACATTGACTGTGAACTTGTGCAATGAAACGACAGCCCTGATTAAAGAAACCCAACGTTTTGGCCGAAAGCATTTAAACAACCGAACAAACTCTGAACCGCCAAGAGCATAGATTCTGAGAAGAATTATGCTTTGTGTGTGTGTGAGAGTTAGAGAGAGAGAGAGAGAAAGAGGGAGAGAGCAGAGAGCAGAGAGCAGAACTGAAACTGGCATAATGAATGTGGAGGGGGTAGGGTAGGGGGAACCAAGGGATGCTGTGACTTTTTAAGTCACAGCAGCAATATGTGGTGTTCTGGTGGAGATTTTTTCTGAATTTTTTTTTTAATAATTTTAATCGTTCATATTATAATATTTATTGAATAGATTATTCATACAAAAAATTAAATTGATTGAAAATTTATGACTCTATAATAAGAGCATATTTATTTAAAAAAAATAAAAGGTTAATATAATCTTGGTATTTTTTTAAAACAATTTAAATCTGATTATGGAATTGTTGATTTCTGATTAACTTAATTTTTTATATAAATGATATATTTAAGGAACCCTACAATATAAATGATTTAAATTATCAAAAAAAAATTCAGAAAAAATTCCACGGAAACAACACCACATTTCCTCCCTGCTGCTGTGACTAGTCACCGCAAGATCCCAAATCCTGGTCCGGGTAGGGGGTGGGGGAAAGTTGGTGCTCACAAGTAAGATCTGTGCCTGAATTCTGCAGGCTCTTGAGAAAGTGCAGTACCTTTACGTCGTTTTGGGCAGTTTCCCCCCCCCCCTCTCTTTTTTCTTCTTCTATTTTTTTGGTGTATGGTCACTTGTTAACTTATATTGGTATATTAGGGAAAATTATTTTGTAATATTGAGACAAATTTATGTGATGTTTTAATTTGATTAGTTAAAATAATAGAATTTAATATTTTTTGTTAAATTTTAGGAGATAATTTGACTTGTGTGAAGTGGTACATAGTATAAAATAGGGCAAATTACATATACCCTTCGAGGTTTGACTAAATTACAAATACCCCCCTGAGGTTTCGGAAATTACATCCCGCCCACTGAGGTTTGTATTTTCATAACAATTTACCCCTGAGGTTTATATTTCATAACAAATTACCCCCTAATTTCTTATGCAAATATTGCATTTAGGAGGAAATTCATAATTTCTCAAACCTCAGGGGGTATCTGTAATTTAGCCAAACCTCAAGGGGTATATGTAATTTGTCCTATAAAATAATATTCCAAAACTATCACATAATTACTCATTACAGACCTCATCTCTTTTTATGGATGTATAGAAGTTATTTCATGCCCAATAACTTATGCGATTTGTGAAGGAAGTGAAGTTTTTATCGTTTTGTATTAATGATAGAAAAATAATAAAGAATATCATATATTGTGATTAATCTGTAACACCAAATAATTTTTTTTTCTCTCACACACATTTTCAGTCTATTATCAACGCAATTTGCCACTTCAACACAAAAAATAAAATAAAATAAAATAATAATAAATAAATAAATAAATAAGTGGTTATAATGTCTCATCCAAAGAGCTGCAATATTATATTCTAACTTTTGGCTACCCAAAATTGGGTCTAACCAACCATCCAACTAATGGAGGATATAACTAATGGCATATCCTATGACTAGTTAGGAGAAAAATAAAATTTGGCGTACCCACACACCATCTAGTGGTCAGAAATGATTGGCCCTATAACTTATCCCACTATTTATCTCATCCTAACTTAAACATTGAATAATATATATTTCTATCAGAGAAATTTAATCTTGGAATTATCATGTATTATTTTAAGAATTAGTTATACCTCTATTCTTATTTAGATTAAATAAAAACTCTAAAGAAGATAAATATAATAAAGAAAATGCTAATTGTAACCCTTTGGCTTGTAAATTACAATAAAAAAATGTATAATAATGTGTAAAAGTTATATTGAAATTCAAACTTTGTTGGCCTTTTCTTCTTCTAGAAGCACGGCCCTATCGCCCCGTTTGTTTGGAGTCATAAGAGGAATTGGGAAGGAGGAGGTAGAAATGATATTAGAAAAATAGTGAGGAAATTATAATTTTTTTTATTTTTTTTATATTAGGATTTTAAAAAAAAAAATATTAATGTTTAATTTTTTATATTTTTTTTATTTTTTTATATAAAAATAATTTAACAATTCCTCACCATCTAGTGGTCAGAAATGATTGGCCCTATAACTTATCCCACTGTTTATCTCATCCTAACTTAAACATTGAATAATATATATTTCTATCAGAGAAATTTAATCTTGGAATTATCATGTATTATTTTAAGAATTAGTTATACCTCTATTCTTATTTAGATTAAATAAAAACACTAAAGAAGATAAATATAATAAAGAAAATGCTAATAGTAACCTTTGGCTTGTAAATTACAATAAAAAAATGTATAATAATGTGTAAAAGTTATATTGAAATTCAAACTTTGTTGGCCTTTTCTTCTTCTAAAAGCACGACCCTATCGCCCCATTTGTTTGGAGTCATAAGAGGGGAATTAAGATTGATAGTAAGATGAGACTACTGTATAGGGTATTTGTTTTGAGAGATAGGAAAGGGACTCCTAATCCCTTGATATTAGTAAAAGCTTTGAAAGGAAAATTGGGAAGGAAGAGGTAGAGATGGTATTAAAAAAATAGTGAGGGAATTATAATTTTTTTTATTTTTTTTATATTAAGATTTTTTAAAAAAAATATTAATGTTTAATTTTTTATATTTTTTTTATTTGTTTTATTATTTTATATAAAAATAATTTAACAATTCCTCACTATTAATTCCCTCACTATCAATCTCTTCACTAACAATCCCCTCACTATTAATCTTCTCACTAGGCGTAGACATTGATTTTTCTATGCAAATTGTCCCATGCTTTTAGCATTATTGAGACAATAAACTATGGCACTTCTCTATCAGTCTCAGCTTTGAAAATGATTTTAGGTCAGAATGGTTACAAAGATAATTAAAGATTACAAGGAAATGATACAAACTGATCCTGTGTCACCATTTCATGAACAACTATTCTTTCTCTTCACCTCTAATGATATGTCATACATTTTTGCACCCAAATCTTTTCCTTCCAGTTTTGAAAACTCTTTATTTTTTCCAAGTAGTTCAAGTAGCTCCAAATCTCAATCTTCTCAATTCTATCTCTAAAAACAATTCTCCATTCTATCTTTAAAAACAAACGGGACCGATAGACATAGACATTGATTTTTCTATGCAAATTTTCCCATGCTTTTAGCATTATTGAGACAATAAACTATGGCACTTCTCTATCAGTCTTAGCTTTCAAAATGATTTTAGGTCAGAATGGTTACAAAGATAATTAAAGATTACAAGGAAATGATACAAACTGATCCTGTGTCACCATTTCATGAACAACTATTCTTTCTCTTCACCTCTAATGATATGTCATACATTTTTGCACCCAAATCTTTTCCTTCCAGTTTTGAAAGCTCTTTATTTTTTCCAAGTAGTTCAAGTAGCTCCAACTCCAAGAAAGTCTATAAATGGTGGAGATATGGTGATCTCAAAATGGCTTCTTGCTGTGTTAGCTGTGTTATCTGCTGCAAGTAAAGATGGTGATGATGATGATAATTTAGTGACTGAGACTTGAGATGTTGACACCGTGGTATCTGATAAGCAAGAAAGCTGATTGTTACAGCTAAGCGATGAGTATTGCATAGCCAACAGCTGTGAAGGATGGTGATCATAATCATCTCTGGACACTATTGGATCCCAAAACTTGTTCGGGCTACCAATGCAGCTATTCATGTCATTAACCCTCTTCAAATCTGCAAAGAATTGTGATGTCATTACAACATTGAAAACTTTTTGAACAAGGGTTTGTTTGGCATCAACCTTTTGGCTTAAAATAAAATAAAATAAACTAAATAAACTAAATAAATCAATAAAACAAAATATCACATTTAAATCATAATTATTTTACTTTTTTTTACAAAAATAAAAAAAACCAAAAAAGAGTCAAAGCAAACAAAATCAAACAAACTTTTAATCCGAAACTAAAATAGCCAAAAAAAAAATCTATTGCCAAACCACGACTAAGAATGCATTTGGGGAAAAAATTCTAAAAATAAAGTGTAGCCAAATATTTTGAATGTGGCACACATTATACAAAATTTGAATTTATACTATGTATTTTATTTTTAGGATACTGAGCTTTTCTGAGTTTTTTTTCCCCCAAAAAAACTGTTTCGATGTTGAATTTGAGAACAGCATTGTGTGCACAAATTTATGCAAAATTTTTGTTTCTCTTGTAGCATTGTTGAAAAGATAGAACTATAAAACTACTTACTTTACACTACCTTTTACGCAACTTTTTGCATAACTTAACTTTGTGTGTAGACCATATTCATCAGGGACGTTGCAGAGTTTGAGCAAAAAGTTGTTCAAAAAATCGTGTTTCTATAGCATGCTGATGTTCATAAAAAGATGTATTGGGCTTTTGAAATGACAAGTGATCATTTAGAAGAAGCTAAAACACATACAGAATGTAGGAAATGGAGGGATATATCTAGAAGACAAACCAGTAAAGAAATCAAAAGGTGTCTGTCCGCAAGGATCAAGAAGCAAATCTTTTCCACTTGACAACACTGCCTCTTCATCAGTACCATTGCTCATGCTGTGGAGAACATTAAACCCACCAATGGGAACGTCAAATGGGAAGTGATTTGAACTGATAAAATTGCCACCATAGAAACTGAAAGTGTTTGGCTCTGATCCAACAACAGAATGGCTTAATTTTCTCCTCCTATAAGCAATAGAATGTTGTCTGTATTTCCTAGCCATGACAACATGCCAGTGATTCTTCACAGCATTATCAGTCCTACCAGGGAACAGCCTAGCAATCATTGCCCATTTGTTGCCATACACTCTGTGAGCTGCCATTAGCCTCTCCTCCTCTTCTTCACTGAATGCTCTTCTGTTGATCCTTGGGTCCAACTGGTTAAACCACCTCAATCTGCAACTCTTACCTTCAAAAAAGAAAAAAAATACCCATTAACAAGACCAAAGGTGGCTATATATATACGAGAATAGTAGTGATTAATTAGTACCTGATCGACCTTCCAACTTGTCAGCAATGAGGTTCCAGTTCTGAGGGCCGTAAAGAGCAACAAGTTGTTTAAGTTGAGAGTCCTCTGCTGGCTTCCAATGCCCTCTACCGCAAAGCTTATTCGACTGCTGCTTCCCACCTTCCATTTCCTTCTCCTTCACTGATCCATTATTTGGGTCATCATCATTGATCTCATCATCATCTTCCATTGGAGCTGTTATTGTCAAAATCATGGTTTCAATCACACAATAAAACCCATTAAAAACAATATAAAATATTTTGAGAGGCCCTTACCATTATCATCACTTCCCTCACTGTTAGTGGTGGTGGTGGTGGTGCAGATTTCTTTGAAGGAAGAGGGCATGTCAAGCTTGGACTGGTCATGCGACTTGTTATAGTAATGAAGAAGCTGTGAAGCTGAGGAGGTAGTGGGGTGGTTGAGTGAAAGAGAACCCATGTTTGGACACAAGGCCATTGATGAAGGTGGAGGAGGAGCAAGAGGAGTTTTATAAATGACATTATTGAATTGAATTGAAGTACAAGTAGTAGTAGCAGTGGGGGGGTTTTGGTTGGACATCCCATCATTTTCTTGGTGACAGAAGAAGGCGATGTTGTACTGCTGCAGGGTCATCTTTACTGGCCACAAAAATGGAAAAACCTAAAACAAACACACACACACACACACACAGTGTGAGAGAGAGAGAGAGAGAGAGAGAGAGAGAGATTTGAACTGTACGTGTTAGCAGAAGAGTGTTTGTTTGTTTGTTCTAACAGAACAGAACAGAACGGAAACCCATATCAAAGATCAATCTATTTTCAAGCCCGTTTATTCCACGGGCCAAAACATTAAAAGCCCATCACCATGTTCTCTCTTTAAAAAAAACTTTTGTTAGTCACAATTTTTTTTAATCACCCTTCCAAATCACCTTTTAATTATAATTTATTTCTTTGTTCAGAGATATTATTAAAAAATTAAATAATATTTGTGTCATGTAGGACTATTTTGGGAAGTGAGTTAAAAGCTACTTCCCAGCTTTTAACCCATTTTTCTCTCGCACAAAAAAGTTAAAAAAATTTAAAAAACAGCTTTTAACCATTTTTTCAAAATAACCTGTAATTCAGTGATACAAAATAATAAAAAATAAGTGATAATTATTTCACATTGGATATATTTCATCAATTTATTTTATTATATATAAAAGAACATTAACAATAACAAATTCTCTATATTATTATGTAAAGTGTACTATGAATAATTTTTTCAAATAATTTTAATTCTTAAATATTTCATAATAATATTATACTTTCTTTAAATATTTATGTTGGCAAATAGTTACTACAAGCATCAAAAAGTAAAATAACTAAAATAATAATTGTTATCCACTGCACAGGAAGAAGTTATTGGTTGCCACTAGTGTTATGTTAAGTGATGGAGGAATATTAAAAAATATGATAAATTATGATTGATATGAAATATAATTAGGTGGCTCTCCAACCCCAAACAATGCACTAGACTTTCACTGTCAACTCCCTCTCACAATTTCCAACAGTAGGCGTGCACTTGTTTATAAACGGGTAGAGGAATGAGTGAGAGTATTAATTAATATCACCACTAATGATATAGTAACTGATCCCATTTATTGTTATAATATTGTTGTTTTTGTTTTTTTAAAAAAAAATAGGTATCACATTATTAGTGATTGCTTTAGAACATCACTTTTAGTAGTCTTTATCATTATCCAAAGGCTTATTTTAAAAAGTGGGTTAATTAAGTCACTTTTTAATTTTTAATTGACTTCCTCTCTAACAAAAAAAAATTAAAAAATTAAAAGATATTAAAAAATTAACTTTTAACTATTTTTTCAAAACACTCTAAAATGTTAGTGAAATATAACTGTTAAAAATAACAATAAAAATAAAAAAAATTGGAAAAAAGTTCATAAAATACACAAAATAAAAATTGTTGATGTTTTTGAACATTTTTAAAAAAAAAATTACATCCCTTTCCAACACTATGAGTACACTTTTAATTACGATTCAATCTATTTTTACCTAAATGTAAATAAATTTAATTTAATATCATTATCTTGCAATATTCATATGGAAATAGGCCAGTGTAGTGGGGAGTGTAGGAGAGAGCAAAGTCAAGTAAATGCGGACTGCAAAAGGCTTTATAGGCACCAAATTCATCAATTTTCATCAGAGAATCAGAGAGGGGCAGCAAACTTGACAAAACATCTCCTCTCCCATCACTCAAAATCCAAACAATAAAATAGACAAAAATAACAAATCAGTTGAAAATTTAAAAAAAAAATTAAGATTGTGCTTGGTATAACTTTTAAATCATAATTCTACCATTTCGTTTGAGTGTCATATTTGTTTACGGTTTTCAAAATATATTTTTACACCTGCGTTTGAAAATTTGTGTACTCGGAAGTCTTTCTGGACGTTCGGCCGGTTGACCGAAACAGTGTTCTTGAATTATTTTTATTTTTATTTTTATTATTTATTTATTTATTTATTTTTGCACTTGTTATTTTTATATATTAAATAAAAAATATTTTCAAATATTTTTTTAAATTTTTTATGAGTTTTGAATAGAATTATAGGTTATGTGTTTGGTTATGAATTGTAAATTTTTGTATAAAAATTATGTCACATCACTCAATTTAAAAACTTTTTTCAAATTTTTTTGCAAAACTCATTCACCAAACAAATTTTCTACACTCAAATCATAATTTCAAAACTCACAAACTTAAAATACAACTTATATTTATAAAACTCTACCAAACACAATCTAAATTAATCGTAAAATTTATAAATTATAATTATTAAAATTATAATTTTTTCTCATATGTAATTATTTTTAAAAAGTTGACCTAATTTATAATTTTCTCATAAAAATATGTATGTATGTACATTTTTTTATTTTGACTGTATATATGATGATATCTATTATAATAAAATACAACTTTCACTTGAATTGTTCAATGTATTTTATGTACTGTAACTGATTTTATATGGGCCTTCATAATTTCTCTAAAAACATTTTTTTTGTTGAGGTTGCAAATTTATTTATTTTGGTTTTCATTTTCGAAAGGATATGTATTCTTTAGGATTCTCATCACCATATTAGGTGGATCATTTTCCTCCTTTACAAAAGATGACACGAACTCTCCTACAAGAACATCACACCACCGTCTTCCATCTGGGCAAATCTCCTTAAACCATTAATGTAGCACTTTTTCATTTTCTACCTTAGAAATACTCAGAGTCACCCGAATAGTTTGCATTCTCATTCTTAGAAGTAGAGAAAAAGAGAGAATCCACCTTGAAAGTTTTTCACTCTTTCAATGAAATTCTGATTGAAAATTGATTATTTTAGTTGATTTATTTTTATTATAAAAGAATGTGTAAAAAATGAAGACAGTGTTAGAAATTATGATTTTTATAAATTTATTATGGACCAATTTTGAGTCAAAATTTGAGTGAGGCCCATACGTTTTTTGGGATTGATCCAAAGAGGTGACGTGTTCCTTACCACATGACAAGTCATACAGTGCAAACGATTTGTCAAAACCATTTATGAGTGAATGTGAACTTGACATCGTTTTCAAGAAATAGGAAGTTGAAGAGTTAAATATGGGTTTCCTTAAATTAGTTATCCCGCATTGAAACTTTAAGAGAGCTTATGTGAGTATATAAGTTTTAAGTAGACATACTTGGGTTGGGTCTCAAGGGGAATCCCAAATTTATAGAAGGGAGGAGTTATAGATAAAGTGAGCTTTGCCTCCACCACCACACGTGCGCCTTCACCGTCTGGTTAAGCCGGGTTGTGGGTTAGGTCCTAATATTAATTTTTTAGACAAAATTTATTTGAATTTTTCAAATTCCTGCAAAAAATTATTTGAATTTCTAAACAAAATTAATTCAAATTTTGTAACAAAATTAATTCAAATTTTGTACCAAATTTGAATTCAAATTTCCTATCCAAACAGTGCTTCTTCCAATCTAAAAATCTCTTCATTTTCCAGTAAATCAAACTATTTTCAAATAGATTTGAATTCTGCACCTGTTCAGTTCAAACTGCACCTATTCGGCTCTACATATTTGAATCTGCTCTTGTTCAGTTCAAACTGTACCTGTTTAGCCCTTCCAAAAAGTCACTACTTAGCCTATAAATACAAGAATTATTCCAGTAGTTTTACAATCCGAAAATTCCCTTGTTTCCTTCTATTTTGCTCTCTTGTATATATATATATATATATATTCTTCATATTAGTTCTAGGAAAATTTCTGAGAGTATAGAACACAGGTTCTGGTTCGCCAAAACAGATTGTTTTTAGTGCTACTACAACTTGTGCAAGATCATTGTATATTGGGAGATAGACGTCATTATTCCATAAGCACCTGAGCGAGGCGAATCTGTCTTAAGGACAAAGTGTTATACACTCGACTTGATCATTCTTGTTTTTAAGTTGTTTTGGTAAATAAATTCTGTAAGTAATTTATTTTAGTTATTTGATTTGTTTCAAGTTATTTATTTTACATAAAAAATTGTTCCAACAGACAGTGAATAATAATTTATAATATTTTTTTTACCAGTGATGCTAGGAATACGAAGAAATTTACTAAACACTTACTTTTTAAATACACCCTCAATGATGTGACAAAGAAGTAAAACCCCCATATACTTGAATATGTGATAAATCAAAAGTTGACACCTATTATTCCATATAACTGTAGGTGAAATTGTAAAAGTTTTATTAGAAATCTCAAATATTTGTCTATAAACATTTGACATATGATATGATAAAATATTTGAGAGCTCTAACATATTTGTTACCTAATACCACTACTAGAAAAAGGGGCATTTGACACGGAACTATTTGCGACGGTTTAAGTGTCGTTGCAAAAAAAGGGTTTTTGCGACGGCACTTAATGAAGTCGCAAAATTATTTTTGTTGCGACGGAAAAACTAAGCTCATGGAAAAAAGTAAGGTTATATGCGACGGTACGTTAAACGTCGCAAAATTTTTCTGGTTTAATTTTTTTTTTTGCAACGCTCTTTTGGCAATCCGTCGCAATTTTCTTTTTTTTTTCTCATTCACTCGCTTTCTCATTCACTCGCAACGGGCCTTAATATCGTCGCAAATAGTATTCCTAAATTTGCGCC